ACCATCTCTCCCTTTTGATTCTGCCCACCTGCTTTCTGCCCTCTAGCCCCAAACTCTCCTATGAGGACTGACGATTTCCAAAAAATCCAATGCTGGTGCTGAAGTGGACAGTACAAACGAGGGCCAACAAGAATTGGTCCTCTCCCTCAGCCAACACTCACACACACACACACACACACCCCAAGGCTATGTGTGGATTAAAATTGTACAACCTACAATAAAAGAGACTGAGGCAGAGCTCTGGGCCAATGACACTTTATTAAAGGGGCCATGGTCCCCTCCAATGAAGTAGACCCCAGATCTTCCTCATGATCTGAGATCCCTCCTTCTTCCAAGACCTTGTTTTTATAGGGTTTGATCACCAAATATGCAACAACAACAACAAAAAAAAGCATGATAAAATACAGAATCTCATTGGTTGACAGACTTTCTTGAGGACCAAAAATGACGTATCAGCAGGGAGGTCACAGGTTGGGTGAAGCATGGGACATCTCCACTGACTAAGTGGTCATAAGACAGCCATAAGATGGTCACCTGTCCCTGCTGGACAAGAGAAAATGGTCCAGAGGTATGAAAATAAGTTGAGGGACTTTCCGAAACATCAAGGCATCCCACCCATGCTGGGCTTGGACATGGAATTTGAGCAAAACAGGAAGGAGATATCTTTGTCACCATTCTCTTGGTTGCACAAGTGAGCCTCATAACTTGGTAAACAAGTGGTGAACATTAATTACATTAAAGTGTGAGGCCAGGTATAAGAACCTATCTATCCCTCTATGATTTATGTAGAATATCAAACTGATTGAAATAGAGTAGGGATCCAAATGAATTCTTTCACACAGCTGCACCCATCTCCTGGGGCAGGGCTGCAAAGAGAGATCCTGCCACAGACACCCCCCCACTGTTCATCCTCTCCTTCTGTGCAGGTGGAGAATGAAAAACAAATCAGAATTCTGTCAACACAAAGTGGTATTGGCTTTATTATTTAATCAAGTGCCCAGATGCACCTGATGCTAAGATCAACCTTGTTTTACCATTCCCACTTGCCAGTCCCCTCCTGCTTCTCCTTCCCAGATTATTGGAGAAGAGAAGGGGTTTGGAAGGCTAGAGCTAGGAAGAACACACCAAGATACTCCCACACAGGCCCCATTAACCTGCCCTTGCAAGGAGGGCAGTAAGAAGGGAGCTTTAGAATCTCTTTCCTTTTGCTAAGTACCTCTGGGCTGCAGCAGGCATGCCCGGAGAGAAGAGAGCTGAATGGAACCCCTCAGGTCACACCAGGGAGGTCACTTTGGGATGTGACACTCTCCAGCAGAGGGGAAGTGCCTTCTGATTATAAGAGATCTGTATACAGGAGATAAACATGGGAAGGCTGACCTGAATTCCAACCAGGGTAGACTAGTTCTGTCTGGCTCTCTCCTGCCCTGCCCTGCATCCAGTCCTGCCTGGACCATCAGCCAGCCAGTTCTCCTCTAAAAAGCCTTTCTTACGGAATGTATATCTTAAATGTACCTTGAAGGATTGTTTAAACCAAGCAAAAAACAGTCCCAAAAGGGGAGAAACTGGGAGCTTTTGAGAGTGAAACACACTGGGACACATTAGAGATACCTGCCTACCTTCCTGCTTACCTGTTCTATCTGCTATATTCCAAAAGGTCTGACTTGCTGTAACCTTGACATAAAGAGGTCAGAGATGAACCACATTCACTCTGCGCCTTGCTAGTCAGGGCTCGGAAAGCTATTGAGAAGTTTATAGGAAAATGAGTCTAAAGAACCTTAGAAGTCTAGTGCCAACTCTTCATTTTAAAGATGGGGGAATCAAGGTTAAGTGACTTCCCCATGGGTCACACATGTTATAACTGGCAGAGCCAAGATTCAAACCCAGCTCTTCTGACTCAAGATCAATGCACTTTTCACTGGCCCAGGCAATGACAAAATGAAGAAAGTTAAGGCTGACAGGAACCTTAGAGTTTATACAGGTGGCCCCAAGCAATCTGTTAAAGCTAAAAACTGCACCAAGACTTTGAGGATACCCAATGAAGTTCATATAGTTTTCATTTTACAGATAAAGGAACTGAGACCCAGAGAGGGGATATGCCTAAGGTCCCACAGTTAGTGGCAGAGCTTCAGTGGTTCCAGATCTTCTGACTCTCATTCTAGTGCTTCTTTTACTGTGACCTGTAGAGGGCTGCCTTTGGAGATTTGGAGGGCTTAGGCCAGCCCGGGTCTTACCTGTAGATTGTACTAAGCCTGACATCTGTGAAACTCAGGATGTCGGCTCACCACCCCCCTGTTCTGTCTCTTGAGAACAGGATGCAGGAACAGAGGAAACAGATGGGGTACAGGACAGGACGCAGGAAAGAATGTAACAGACAAGGTGCAAGGAAGTAAGGAAATCACTTAATTAGATTTGTACTTTTCATGAATAATAATGTTACTGTTGCTTGATCCAGTACTCTATAAGCCCGAGCCCTCAGATCAACAAACAGAGTTTGTTCTTCACTGCTCTCACCTGGCCCGTGATTCTTTCTCTCTTCACACTCATCCGGCATCAGACCACAGCTGGGGACGCAAGCGCTCCCAGCAGTGACCCTTGGTAGCCCATGGCATTAAAAGCAGCAGTAAAAGAAGGTACAATGCAAAATGGAGAAATATTCTGTGAATTTGTCCAAAAAAGATTAGCACTGACCTTAACAAGTGGGTCTTTGTGAATTTCCAGAACAGATACAATTGGAGAAGGTCCAAAGATATATCTCTTCAATAAACTGACAAAGGAGTTTCCTCAATAAACTCAATAAATAAATACTCTATAAATTCCAAAACAAAGTCCTGCTTTCCAATTTAAACTCTTCATACCTTCCAACGCTTTCCTACCTTTCCAGTCTTACGTTTGCTCTCTTGCATGCACTCTGTGCTCCAGCTACTTTGCTGTTTCTGGACTACAAAGTAAAATATTCCATTTCCTATCTCTGTGCCTTTGTATTGACTCTCCCCCAGGTCTGAGATGTTCTTCCTCCTTGGTAGCACTATTTGATTTTTTTTACTTCCTCCAAGACTTATCTCAAATCCAGTCTTCTGCAGGAGGCCTTTCCCGCTCCCACCGCTAGCACCTTTCCCATCAGAAATTCTCCGAAATTATCTCCCGTCGACTCCCCAGATGTCTAGTAGCTACCTAGTTATTGACATATTGTGCTTCTCATTAGAATCTGAGCTCCTTGAGGCATGGACTGAATATTTGCCTTTCTTTAGATCCCCAGAATTTGTAGTGCCTGGCACATACTAAAGTGTTTAACAAATCCTTTTTTTAACTGACTGACTTAGTTATTGGAAAGTTCAGAAAGCATGTGTAAATATCACATCCCATAAACTTAGAGGGTAAAGAGGGGGAAAAAAGGAAATGGACGAGACAGTTACTGGTGAGGACTTCCTTGTCAATTCTTTAAGAATATGGCAACCAAGGTCTTGGCTGCAAAGAGAACGGATGGCTAGTGCTTTAGGGATTATAGACTGAGAGCTGGAAGATCATTCAGTTGAACTCTCTAGATTTACAGATGAAGGAACTGAGACCCAGACCTGCCCAAGATCATAGAGGCAATGGATGGAAGGGCCAGGATTGAGGTCCTCTGATTCCAAATCCAAGCTTCTCTCCATTGGGCCATATTGATCAGAGGGAAAAGACTAATGACTTGAAGCTGGAGAATGAAATCCCTGGTCTCTGAGCCTGCACTGCCTCTTTGGCAAGTCAAATCGAGCTCATAGAGAAATAGCAGTGATGTCCCCTTTAAATAACTTAGAACTGATTTTGCTTTGGGAAGTATATTTGCATCAATAATTTAGACTTGGATATTTGGCTAATTTGCATGTTGTGTGGATTGCTTACAGATCTGACCATGTTACTCCCAACTTCATCCATTCCAGTGAATCTCTATTGCCTCTAGGATAAAATATCAAATCAGTTTAGTTTTTCAAGCTCTTCACAACCTGGTCCCAACCAATATTTCCAGTCCCACTGGACTAATTACTCCCTCTCTCCCACTCAGCAATCTAGCCAAACTAGCCTTCTGTCTGCTCCTCATTTGCAACACTTCCCTCCCATCTCCTTGGTACTTACTTTCCCCCATGCCTAGAATTCACACCCTCCTCACTTCCACCTCATAGGGCACCCTCTTCCTTCAAGACACAATGCAAGCAAAACCTTCTCCATGAAGCCTTTTCTGATTCCATCACACCCCCAGTCCCCATTGTTTGTGCCCTTCTTCCCAAACCACCTTGAATTTAATTACCATGTATTTATATTTATTACGTATATGCATACACATGCCATATATAATATACCTGTACACAAAATGCACATATGTGTACATACATATGTACATGCATGTATTTATGAGTGTGTATACACTCCATACATACACACACTTGTCTTCATTAGAACGTAAGCTTCTGTGAATAGGAATTGTTCCAGTCTTTATATTAATATCTCCCCTGACCTGGCACAATGCCTGGTATAGAAAAAGTACTTAATAAACTCTTGTTGCCTGATTAATTGGATGGTTTCTTCACCACTATTCCAATTATTTTCTTCATCTTGTTAGCAGTACTCCAAGAGGTACAAAAATTTATCTACTGGTATTACTGTATACATTTTACAGATGAGGAAACTGGAGCAAAGAGGTTAATAAAGAAACAATCATGATTAAAATCCAGGACTTCCTGAAGTAGATAGAATAGAAAGAGTGCTAGATTTGAAGTTAGGAAGCCTTAACTTTAAATCCTGCTGCTGACACCTAAATAGCTGAGTAGCCTGCAGGGAGGGTGATGGGAAGGGAGGAAAGATAGAAATGGAAAAAGCATTTATCTAGTGCCCACTACGTGTCAGACACCACGCTAAGCGCTTCACAAATATTTTCTCCTTTAATCTTCACAACATTGAGAGCTAGGTGCTTTTTTTTAATAACTGAGGAAACTGAGGCAGAGAGAAGTAAAGTGTCTCACCCAAGGTCACTGAGGCCGCATTTGAACTTGGGTCTTCCTGACTCCAGTCCCAGAACTCTGTCACTATGGCGGGAGTCATCGGCCATTAGCAAGTGACTGCCTCCTTGAGTCTCTGAGCCTGTAAAATCAGAATAGTAATGCCTATGGTACCTGCTTCATAGAGTTGCTGCAAGTATCAAATCTGACAATGTATATAAAGGGCCTTTGTAAAGTGCCGCATAAATAAATGCCAGCTATTGTTATTATTCCAACCCTCTGCACACTATACTGTCTGATCTTTCCTATTTCAGGGGAAGCAAATTACAGCAAACACGACACCCTGGAATTGTCTTCTCTGTTGTCTAAACTGGTCCTGAATACCAACCATCTTCCTATTCAGATGGAGATAAAAATAACTACAAGAGCTTACAAGGCTTCTAAAAAAGGGGGAATAGAGTGAAAATGTCTCTGATCAGTCTACACTGAAGCTCTCAGCAGCTGGGATCAACGTGAGATTGAAGAAGCCATCCAGCCTGTGTTGGGCAGGTAATTAGGCGGCATGGAATGCTGTTCCTTCAGAGGCCCTGGGAGGCGGCCAGCCACCAACCTGCAGGAGAATAAATGAAACGGGGTTATTTGGGGTGAAGAGTGAGTTCGAACACAGTGAACACAAAAGAGATGAGAAACTGCAGGAGGGAGGTTTGAAAGAATAAAGTATCCATCCTTTTTGATGACCCTTCTCCATAGATGAAGCAAATTCCTACTGCTAGGAAGCATGGTTTTATGCCTCCCTTCGCTCCTTCTGCACAACTCCCAATCTTGGTACTGGACAACCTGCTGCGACCTCATGCTCAGGGCCACACGCTCAGAACTATATTCTAATGAGGCCCTTCTGATAATTAACTTCTTGGGATGGAGACTAAGATGGCCCCATGTTAAACTAGGGGCTGACTTTATGCAATCATGAAGGGCCTTTACAGACGCAACATGGAATTGTTCACCAGATCCTGGACTATAAGAATTGGACACATTTCACTGAAACTTAAAAAGAGGATTGTTATCCAGTTGTTTCAGTTGTATCCGACTCTTCACAACTACATTTGGGGTTTTCTTGGCAAAAATGTGGAGTGGTTTGCCATTTCCTTCTCCAGCTCATTTTACAGATGAAGAAACTGAGGCAAACAGGGTTAATGGACTTGCCTAGGGTCATGTAGCTAGGAAGTGCCTGAGGCCAGATTTGAACTTAGGTCTCTTAAGACTCAGGCCAGCCACCATGCCACCTAGCTGCCCCCAAAAGAGGGTAATTTAGAACAAACAAAGGGAAATATTGCTTTGCCCATGTGGTAGTCAAATTTGGAACTTGTCACCATCGGTTTGCGGTACACAATGAAAATACAAACAGGCTTGAGATCATAAGCTCCTGAGGACAAAGATCAAGTCCTGTTTATATATATGTATCCCCTCTTCTGTCTAGCCTCATGCAATGAACATATCTCAACAGCTCAAGGATCTCTAATTTCATGAGTGAAATAGAATAATCTATAACTAGATGATTTTTGAGAGCTGCTATAGCTGAGGCCTGTAGGAACTTTGCATATGACAAGGGCTTCATAAATTCTATAGGAATTTTGTATATGGCAAGGGCTTCATAAATACTGAATGAATGAATAAATAAATGCATGAATGAGCCCTTTTGGACCCTGAAAAACAGTATCATTTGCAGTCACAAGGAATCAGGAACCCTGGATGGCAGAATCCCTCTCAGTCATAAGGGAGAAAGGGCCTTGAAGAATAGTATAAATTCTGGTCACAAGGGAGCTAAGATCACACCTCTCCTTGGATTGCACCAACTTGGAAGCACCAAAAAGTTGCAGATCCCCAGAACCAGCCCTGAAAACAAAAGTACAAAAAAAGTCTGAAGCTTAAGACAGTGCCTCCCACCCTGGGTACAGAGCCAAACTTTAACAAAGTTCAAAGTCAAGAAATAGGCTGGAAAGAGGAGCAAACAGAAGCAGGGGTAACAACAAAAGAACCCAAACATAAAAATGTATTATGGTAACAGGGAAGATCAAGACACAAACTCAGAAGAAGACATGATGTCAAAACAGATGCAAGCAAAGCCTCAAAGGGGAAAAAATGTGAATTGGACACAAGCCCAGTAAGAGCTAAAAAAAAAATGAAATTATTTTAAAAATCAAATGAGTGGGAGAGGAAAATCTGGGGAAAGAAATCAGAGCAGTGAAAGAAAATTATGAAATGACAGTTAACGGCTAGGTGGCACAGTGGATAGAATGCTAGGGCTGGAGTCAGGAAAACCTAAGTTCAAATCCAGGCCCTCACTAGTTTGTGCCCCTGAGCAAGTCACTTCACCCTGTTTGGCTCTGTTCTTCATCGGTAAAATGGGCTGGAGAAGGAAACAGCAAACCACTCCAGTATCTTTGCCAAGAAAACACCCAAAAGGGATCACAAAGTATTGGACATGACTGAATTTTTTTTCTCATTCTTAAAAGAGGTACAAAAAGGGGCAGCTAGGTGGTGCAGTAGATAGAGCACTGGCCCTGGAGTCAGGAGGACCTGAGTTCAAATCTGGACTCAGACACATAGTACTTCCTAGCTGTGTGACTCTGGGCAAGTCACTTAACCCCAATTGCCTCACTTAAAAAAAAAAGGGAAAAAAAGAGGTACAAAAAAAAAAGAAGGAAATAACACCTTAAAAATAGAATTGGCTAAATGGAAAAAGAGGTACAAAAGCTCACTAAAGAAAAGAATTTCTTAAAAAGTAGAATCGGGCAAAATGGAAGTTAATGACGCTGTGAGATACCAATGTACAATAAAACAAAGTCCAAAGAATTAGAAAATAAAATGAAATGTGAAACATGTCATTGGGAAAAACAAATGGCCTGGAAAATATATCTATACACGATTTAAGAATTACTGGATTGCATAAAAGACACGATCAAAGGAAGAGCCTAAACATCATATTTCAAGAAATTATAAAGCAAAACTACCCTGACATTCTAGAACCATAGATTAAATGGACAAAGAATGCACTAATCATTGCCTGAAAGAGTTCCCAAAATGAAAACTCCCAGAAATATAGCCAAATTCCAGAGCTCGCAGGTCAAAGATAAAATACTGCCAGCCAGAAAGAAACCATTCTCATAGCATAGAGCCACAATCAGGATTCCACAAGATTTTGTAACCACCAGGTTAAAGAAGTGAAGGGCTTGGAATATGGAATATAGAAGGCAAAGAAACTAGAATTACAACCAAGAACAACCTACCTAGAAAAACTGAATATAATCCATTAGGGAGAAAAATTAATATTTATTGAAATGGAGGACTTTCAAGCATTCCTGATAAAAAGACTAGAGGTGAATTTTAAAAATGACTTTCAGATACAAGACTCAAGAGAAGCATAAAAAGGTAAACCTAAAAGAGAAATCATAAGGAACTCAATAAAGTTAACTGTTTACATTCTTATCTGGGAAGATGCTTGTCCTTATAAGAGCAGTTAGAAGGACTCTACTTAGACAGAAGGTACAAAAATGAGCTCATTATGTCGGAACATTATAAAAAAATGGATGAGTGAAAAAATGGATGCTCAGTAAGGATGGAGAAGGAAAAGGAAGAATGGAATAAATTATCTCACATTAAAGAAATGTTCAAGGAAGAGTTTTACAGTGGAGGAGGAAATGGGGAGGAGGAAGGGAAGGTTGTCTGGTCCTTAGTTTCCCCATCTGTAGAACAAAGTCTAGATGACTATTAAGATTTCTTCCAGCTCTAGAATCTGTGTCCCTTCTTGAGTTTTTATCAAAGAGCTTTACTGCCACAGAAAGATAGAGAGGGGTTAAAGTCACAAAGGATACTAGAAAGGCACAAGGCTCCCTGACCTTTACTGAAGTGCACCTTGATTTTTCCTGCTTCCCATCCTCTTCACCAAGGCATCCTTTTTTGTCCTTGTCTCAGGAGGGAGCCCTCCTATGAGGGAATCACAAGCATAAGCAAAGGAGAATGATTCTGAATGTTTTCTCTTCCTAACTGCTCTCTTAGCCAAAGGTTGGCTGGGCTGATACCTTCTGCAACATCTAGCCCTGGTTCTTTTTTCTGGTTCCATTCCTGTCTAGGTTAGAGGCTGATTCAAGATACCCAGGATCTTAGCCAGAGTTAATTCAAGTTGGCACTATTGCTGGTATAACCTGTTTTCCACTTCTCCTCTGGATTCTCAGGAATTAGGGTTCAATGTGGGAGTATTTTTAATGAGTATAAGTTTTCTCATCTGGCTGGAACTTGAACCTTATTAACAAACTAGGCAAAAATCAAACACTGAAATAGCAAAATATTTAGGATAGAATTGCAAAGCAAACCAATGGGAAAAAATAGTTAAATACCCATCCTCAAATGAGTACAATTTTATCACACCAATCTGAGCTAGAAAAACAGCTTTTATATATGCCTATGAAATAGGGAAAGAATGTCTTTTCTTGGGAACCAGAAGGAAGTGGCTAGATGCCTTTAATGCTAGAATTCTTAGCTTGAAAGCTGCATCCACCAGTGTAATACAGCTGCAACTTATTTTTCTGCTCTCAGCAGTCATCTCTCCTTCATATATGAATTTGAGCACCCATTCTTGTCACTTCTTGCAGCAAGGACCCCTTTGGCAGTCTGGTGAAGTTTATGGACTCCTCAGAGTAATGTTTTTAAATTTATAAAATAAAACACATAGGACTGTAAAGGAAAACAATTACATTGAAATACAAGTAAGAATATATTTTAATAACTTTTCTCAAATTACATGTTAAAACAATTTTCTAACATTTGGGTTTTTTTAATGTTTTGAGTTCCAAATTCTATCCCTCTTTCCCTCCCTTCCCCTTCCCTGAGATGATAAGCAATCAGATACAGGTTATACATGTGCAACAATGTAAAACATTTCCATATTAGTCATTTTGTACAAGAAGACTCAATTAAAAGAAAAAGAATGAAAGAAGGAAAGAAAGTGAAAAACAGCATGCTTCAGTCTGTACTTAAACAACAGCAGTCAGCTCTTTCTCTGGAGGTGGATAGTATACTTCATCATGAGTCCTTTGGTATTGTCTTGTATCATTGTATTGCTGCGAATAGCTAAGTAATGCACACTTCTTCATCGCACAATATTGCTGTTACTGTGTACAACGTTCTCCTGGTTCTGCTCACTTCACTTTGCATCAGTTCGTGTAAGTCTTCCCAGGTTTTTCTGAAATCCTCCTGCTTGTCATTTCTTACAGTACAATAATATTCCATCACAATCATTTACCACAGCTTCTTTAGCCATTCCCCAAGTGATGGGCATCCCTTTGATGTCCAATTCTTAGCCACCACAAAAAGCTCTGCTATAAAATAATAAATTTTTAAAGACAAGTTCACAGACCCAGATTAAGAACCCCTGAATAAAGGAATGTAGTGTAACTACTAGATTCCTGAACACTGTTATTGTCATATTGCCAAGGCTGCTTTATCCCTCAGTAGGGCCACATTTCTGATGTCCACTGCCTTCTCCCCACATACACACACACACACACACACACACACACACACAGAGGCACTCAGATGCCCGTGCACTGGTTTACTGCTTTCTTTCCCAAAGTCCTCCCACTACCTCGTAGTGACACAATCATTGTGCACTACACACATACAGTCTCATAAACTCCAAGAACTCTCTATCACCTCTAGGATCAAATAGAAAATCTTGTTTGGCATTAAAATCCTTTCTAACCTGGACCCTTACTACCTCTCCAGTCTTCTTACGCCTTCCTCCCCTCCACATACACTGGGACCCAGTGATACTCTTCTCTTTGTTGTACCTTCAACAGGACACTCCATCTCCCAAGTGGGCATTTTCAGCAGCTGTCCCTCGTGCCTAGCACTGCCTCCCTCCTCACCTCTCTCTCCTACCTTCTCTTTTTTGTTGTTGTGTCCAACTCTTTGTGACCTCATTTGGGGTTTTCTTGACAGAGATACTGCAGTGATTTGATATCTTACAGATGAGGAAACTCAGGCAAACAGGGTTAAGTGACTTGCCCAAGGCCACATAGCTAGTAAGTGTCTGAGGTTAGATTTGAACTCAGGTCTTCCCAACTCCAGGCCTGGTCCTCTATCCACTGCTCTACCTACTTTCCCTGGTTTACTTCAAGTCCTAGCTAAAATCCTACCTTTCCCAACCTCCCTTAACTCTACTGCTTTCCCTGTGCTGGTTATTTCCAATTTATCTTAGATATGTCTTATTTGTACATAGTTGTTTGCATTCTTCCCATTAGACTGTGAGCTCCCTGAGGGCAGGGACTATCTTTTACTTTTCTTTGTATATCTCTAGCAGTTGGAACAATACCTGGCACATAGTAGGTGCTTTATAAATGTTTATTGGCTGATTGAAATGGAATCCTGGGGACTTCTCCCAACAAGCTCTCTTGGTTCATGCCTTTGGAGAAATGCAGTCTATCCACCCACACTTCTATGACTACTATACCAGATTTGTGCAGGTGAGGACCTAGAGGGCCACATGTAGCCTCAAGGCTGCAGGTTCCCCACCCCTGGGCTAGCTCACTGGGAGCTGTGCACCCTTGATAGGAGCACCCTAGTTTTAAGTGCTGGTTTGTCACTTAGGCTAGTTACCTAATCTCTCTGAGTCCATTTCCTCCTCTCTAAAATAGGGATAATAATACTTGTATCTCGTATACTTGTATAATAATATCATATTTGTATCTTGTATACTTGTATAATAATATCATAAGGTCATGAGGCTCAAATAAGTTTTTTCTTTAGTCATCCAGAGAACAAAACTAATTCAAAACAAAGGCATTTAATAAAATATCATAGAAGGAAATTTTGTAGTAGAACAAGTCATTTAACCTCAGTGGACCTCAGTTTCCTCATCAATAAAATGAGGTTAGATTCCCATAATGTCTCTTTCTGTTATAAATTGATGCTCAAAGATATAATGAAAAGAATATTATACTTAGAGGTAGATCTGGGTTTTAGTCACAGTTCTGCCATTTACTATAGGCAAGTATCTTAACCTCCCTAAATATTAGTGTTTCATCTCTAATGGGGAGGGGGATGGACAGGAATTCTCTTCGAGTTCTTGAAATCTATTATTCAATATTGAGTACCTATGAAATACTCAGCAGTGTGTTTGCAAGTGTAGGTTAAATGCCCAGAAAACAAAAGAAAAAACATAAAATGGTTTGTAACCACACATAAAATTATGGGGCAAAGTTTCTAAGTGCAATGGGAGGTCAGGAAGGAGAATGTTCTTTGTAGGTATAATCAGGGAAGGCTTGACCTAGACCTTGAAGAATGATGATGAATCTGAACTTGGAGAGGGAAGGACAAAGAATTCCAGTCAAAAGTGACCAGCCTGAGAGAAGGTGCACCCCAGGGAGAATGAGCGGAGTAAAGAGAGCAGCCGGGGGGCAGCTCGATGGCGCAGTGGGTAAAGCTCCAGCCCCAGAGTCAGGAGGACCTGAGTTCAAATCCAGCCTCAGACACTTGACACTGGGCAAGTCACTTAACCCCAATTGCCTCACCAAAAAAAAAAAAACAACAACAACGAAAAAAGAGCAGTCTGAACCAAGCAAAGAGCTGTTGTTGGGGGAATAGCAGAGGATCGTATGGGTAAGAGATTGCACAGGACAAATGATGAAGCGACTTGATTAGGAGAGGTAGGGTGGCACAACGGATAGGGGCCTCAGTCAGTAAGAGCCTGGTTCAAATCCTTTGACACATAAACTGGCTGTGTGATCCTGGGCAAACCAGTTTGTCAACAAGCATTTATTAGGCACTTACTCTGGGCCAGGCAGTGTGCTGAGAGCTTTTCAGGGTTGGGCGAAAGTCACTTAACCTCTTCAGGACTGTGCTTGCAGATCCAAATTGTTAGAGGCAGTATCCTTCTTTGTAGCACCCTAAACAGATGAAATCACAGGTCTGAAACAAAAACAATCAGCCTAGCAGAGTGCCTTGCAAATATTAGTTGCTTAATAAATGTCTGTTGAATTACATAGAACTAAATAGTGAGGTGGATAGAGCACTGAGCCTTGAGTCAAGAAGTGAGTTCAAATCCAGACTCAGCTGCTTTCTGTGGGACCCTGGCATTCTCACACAGGCTCCGGATAAAGGGCAATGCTCTCATGCTCTCCCAGTCACCAGTGGAGTAAAGCAGGGCTGTGTGCTTGCTCCCATGCTTTTTAGTATGAAGTTTTCCTCAATATTAGAGACCTTCACTGAGGACTGGCATCAAGGTTAGCTCCCACCCTGATGATAAACTATTTAACTTGAAAAGGCTACAAGCCAAGGCTAAAGTAGAGGGAGAGTTGGTGCATGATTTTTTGTTTGCTGATGATTGTATACTCAGTGCAGTCTCCAAGGCTGATCTGCAACAAAATGTGTATGGCTTCTCAACTGCTTGTGCTAATTTTGGCCTGACAATCAACATCAAGAAAACAGAGGTGCTCCACCAGCCCACACCACACCACCCATACATGGAATCATTAGACGCAGCAAATGGAGAAATTTTGAATGCTGTGGATAAGTTCACTTATCTTAACAGTATACTTTCCAGGGATGCACACACAGATGATGAGGTTGACACTTGCATTCCCAGAGCTAGCTCAGTGTTCAGGAGACTCAGAAAGAAGAGAAGAGGTACTAAGCTACATACCAGACTGAAGGTCCACAGGGCTGTTATGCTGACATCATTGTTTTATGCCTATGAAACCTCGACGATCCACCAGTGCCGTGCTAGGAAACTGAACTGCTGCCGTTTGAATTGTCTTAGGAAGATCCTGAATGTTGCTTGGCAAAATAAGGTGCCAGACACTGAGGTCCGCTCACCCCCCCCCACATTTATTTATTTAATTCTTAATTTATGGAATAAAAAAAGCATTCCCATAGCATAGTACAATAAAAATATAGCTGCACATGAAACTGCATATCTATTATGTACAACTTGCTATTCCTTTTAAACATATAATGAAGTTATCATGTAAATTTATTTTTTTCTTTCTCTCTCCCTGACCCCCCCCCTTGGTTACCATTAGACACAAATAGGTATATGTATATGTGTGTA